TTTTCGTGTCTCTTGGAACAAATAACAACATCTGAGGATGAGTAAATTGCACATTTTTCATTTTTAGGTGAACTGTCTTTTTAAGGCACACTGCGGCACTTTTGAAAAGAACTGTTTGCAGCAAAAGGGAGTATTTAGAGTGTGAGTCATGTGACAGTTGTTGAGCATTGCATCAGGGACCAGCAGTGCCCACAAGCGACCACTGGCACTTTCTCCCTCTCTCTCTCTCACTTTCTCACCAGCAATCTTGCAACCAGTCTGCCTCCTTATTCTTGCTGTTCTCCTTCTCTCCCTCGCTCTTTATCTCCCTGTGTGCTGTGCGGCCAGTAAGGAGTCGTGCATGCCTAATTTGAGTTAATGATGCCAGGGCTTGTCCAGGCCTGAGGCTGCAGCAGGAGAGAAGGAGGAACAGCTGTAGCCAGGCTGAGACCGCATATCTCTCAATCTCTATTTCTCCTTCATTCTTTCTCCCCGCGCATCCTGACATGAGTGCCCACAGCAGCCCCAACTGCAGCACAACCTCATGACGTCTCCTACGTCAGGAAACCATCTCAACTGCGCTTGGAAGAGCTGGAGAAATCAGGAGAGAGTAGAGGCTTGACGAGCAATCTTGAAATAGAAGCGGAGAAGGGCGAAAAACCATCCAGGATTAAAAAGGAGACAGGCAGCAAGAGGAAGAGGAAGAGAGATAGAAGGGAACAGATTTAAGACTGCAGGGAATTTGAGGCAAGGAAAATCCAGCAGCAGAAATTAAGCAGCTTAAAGTAACTGCTCGCTAAAGCTTAATTCTGATGAGAGGGTCCTCGCACGGTCTCATGCAAGAGGTTGCGCGGGCTGTAAAGGATAAGAGAAGACAGGCTGCCAGGGAACAGAGACTCGGTGACGTGGATTGGGAGACAGAAAGAGAGAGAGAGAGAGAGATAGAGGGGGCTGTTTCATAACCAAAGGTTGACATCTCTCTGATGAGTTTTGTGCTGACAAAAAATGTGTCAGCACAGCCACCTCAGAGTCTCCATGTTTCACCTCTGTTAAGCATGAAAGTCAGAATTTGAGCAAAGGCGCTTTATTCAGGCTTGATGTTATAAATTTAACCCGGTGACAGGATTCTAAGCTCATTTGGAAAGTTTAAAGAAAGAATTAGTGCATTCGGCTTTTTAAACTTCCTTTTTTCTTGTCTCTGCAGGAAGCATCAACCGAACAGGGGCTGTCCCTACTTTTCTGCGGACCCCCACAGTTATCCAGCCTCATCTGGATATGAAGCCCTTCCTACAGTTTTCAATGGAGACTCCTCCTCCACACAGTGTTGGGCTCTTCCACAACTTCAACACGGTGAGATTAGGCCACTGAAAACCTCCGTTAACAGTGCTGCATTATTGCATTACTCTGAAAAAAGAACAAATTATGCTATATGGAAAGTGTTGTTGGGTCACCTCAAGCCACTTGCTTTAGATAAGACACAGTGTCTATAAAGGTAATTGCCTACAGTGTGTCACAACATTATTGGAAAGTTTGTCAGTTAAAAAAATACAGTAACAGAATATGAAAAGTTACACATAAATGATCTTGAATTACCAAATCAAATTAACTTGTCCAAGGCCCACATTGTTTCATTATTTCCGGTAAATTCTGTAACAAATACACTTGGACAAATACACTACCGTTTTTTTACTGATACCTTCATTAAAACTGATCAAATAATTTTTATTTTTATCTTAAATACATGCTTTTGAACTTTCTATTCATCAAAGAATGCTAAAAAAACCCATCATAGTTTACACCAAAATATTAATCAGCACAACTGTTTTCAACATTGATAGTTATAAGAAATATTTCTTGAGCACAAAATCATCATATTAGAATGATTTCTCAAGGATCATGTGACACTAAAAACTGAAATAATGATGCTGAAAATTCAGCTTTGCCATCAAAGGAATAAGGAACTTTTTAAAATAGAAAACTGTTGTTTTAAAATGTAATAATTTTCACAATATTACTGTATTTTTGGTCAGATAATTGTAGCCTTGCTGGGCAGAAGAGACTTCTTTTAAAAACATTAAAAAAATATTTCTGACCTCAAACATTTAAACCAATCATAACAAAGGAAATGGCTTTTAAATATTCAGATATAATTGAATAAATAAAAAGTATAATATTAAAAGCAAGCAAAAATGTAAACAATTTCATGTAATTCCAGATCCTTGTCGTTATTATTGTTTTTTCTTCTGTGGAATACAAAAGGGGGGGGGGGGGGGGGGGGGGGGGGGGGCAGTGAAGGATGAGAGGATGATGATTGTAACTGTCAAGCTATTTAAAGCACATAAAAGTATCATAAAGTTTACTAAAGCCATATTTAAAGGGATAGTTTAGCCAAAAATATATATTCTGTCATTTTAATCACCCTTATGCCATTCCAAACCTCTGATTTTCTTTCTTCTCTGGAACATAAATGTTAATTTGTTGTACTTCCGTACAATGGAAGTTAATGGTCACCAAAACATTTTGGCTACCAACATTCTACAAAATATCATTTATGTTTCACAGAAAAAAGTGAAACATAAGTCATACATGTTTTGAACAACTTGATGGTGAGTAAATGATGACAATTTAATTTTATGTGCACTATTCCTTTAAGTCAATATTTCCTGAAAATATTCCCCTCCACCATTCAGGTCTGATGTATTATTACATTGTAATACATTAATGCATTCTCATCATTACTTTCAAGTAGGGATCTGATTATGGAAAGATAACCTTAAATATTATAGCTGGTTTGTTTGTATATTGAAATTTGCCTGACTGCTGTCCGTCGGACAGTGTAATACTGTATGAGTTCTCTCATGTCATCGTGACTTATAGCGAATCATTTTGATTAGCATGCAGCTCGTTTCACTCTCTCAGCACTTTTACTCCGAGACTGTTCTGCACATTTCCCAGATTGCATTCTGTTATGTAAATGAGGATGCTGGTCAGCAAATTGAATGGGAAAGGTTAGCCATGGGATCCAGCCATGTCTGAACTGTCTGTTGTATGTATTCTCTCTCCTAAAATTCCCTGTACTTGCCTGCACTTGTTGCCAGTGTGAAAGATGGCCTGCCCTTTGGCACAGTCTCGTAACACTGAGAAGGAAAAGACACTCTCCCCATGCCAGCTCAATAAATCCACATCACACATTGCCTTCCAATTCTGCCACATTATTATCTTTTTAGCAAAAGCCAAGGGATGTTTAAATATTTAGAAATATGCATGAGCTCGTGAAAGAGTCAGAATCTAAGAGCTTAACTACTGTCTCTTGTACTTAACGCCATTTATTATATATTCAGACACTGAGTGGTAATCTTTAGATTGCGGCAGTTTTAGCATTGCAGCAGGCTATTAATCACAACGGTTAAAGACTCAATGTGAGAGTGACCAGATGTCCGATGGGGAAATTCTCCTGATGCCCAGTAGGGGGCGATGTTGGAGAGGCTGGAAGGACAGGCTGACCTCTCTCTAGGACACTGCAGTGTTTACGCCATCGCCTAATGCAATGCTGACATGTACAAGAATTCCCTCACACAGCTTGTAATACATATAGGCTTCTACTGAGATATTAAACAGTCATCAGTTGTGTGATTTAATAAAGTACATGGTTTGACATTTGAATATGATTTGATTTAAAATTAAAGATGAGCATACACAGAACGGAACCCTAGCTTCACTTTACAGTTACATTTATTCATTTTATAATAAATGTTTAATTGTTTATAAAACGTCTGCCAAATGCTTAAAATAAATAAATAATATAAAAATGGTTATATAGTGTTATTTTTATTACTATTTATTCATTTAAATTAGAACTTATGATAATGATCAAATGTACTCTTTCATATATACTGTTGTTTGAAAGTCCAATTCATTCTAGTGAATTGTTCATTCTAAACAGTCCTCTCTCTGTTGTGTTTGAAAGTATGATTGAGTCTACTGAATCAGTTCATCCCAAGAAGTTCTCTCTGTCATATGTAGCACTGGAAAATGCGATTCATTGTAATGAATCTGTTAGGTCGAATAGATTAATTAAATCAACAGATTCATAAAATTATTCACGGATTCAAGTCACTGTATTGTTTGTTCATTCAAACCAATTATTGTTTTTTTGTGGCTGCAAATATACAGTTCTGATTGAATTATAAATTATATTCTTGGATATTTAGAGTTGAATTTGATTTATTTATAAAAACATATTACCTCTTATAACTTTAATGTAGCTACTTTTTACTACTTCTTGTTTGTGGTTTGTTATAAACTATTTTTTTAATTCATTCAAAATTATGATTAGCTTTGCTTGGCAAGCTACAGTTTCAAAGTAGCTTCCCCAGCACTGTTTATAAACATGCAATATGTCAGCTCTGCTCAAGTTGTTCGGTCTGGAATCGCATTCATGTTGAAATGCAATGGCCTGATCAAAGCTGTAATCAAAAATTTGTGGGCTTGGCCAAATAATTATTTTGCTGTGTAAATTTCACCAATATCAGATGCTTTGATCAGCTGTAGATAGAGCCGGGGCTGACCACAATCTTCCATTCCTCCACAGTCCACCTGTAATTTGTCCTTAATGTGATTTGGCTTCTACCTGCCTGTCTGAGGCAATGCGCCTGCAGGCACTGAGGCACCTAAATAATTTATACCAAGCAGCTGGTTGTGGCGTGGAAGTGCAGAAAACCTCCCCCAGACACTTGCTTATTCTGCAGAATCAGGAATTTCGGAGGCGTTAAATCGTGTGGCTCGTGCACCAACTTGTTGCAACTCACCTGCAGCCACTTTCAAAAAAAGCCTTGCTTTCTTTCACTCGCAAAAGGCGACGTTTATGCTCACAGCTTGCCAATTTTCCACGTGGACTTTTGGAGTTGAAATCTTTTGGCTGCGTGCATTTTACCTCTGATGACCCCTCGAAAAACTGCAATTTCCGACCTTAATAGCTGGAAGATATCAATAACAAGGCATTATGAGTTCAAATATTTTAGAAGTTTTATTAATTGAGCCTGGGTCACCGCTGCATTGGATCCACATGTGTTTTAGATGTATGTGGCAAGAGCGAGAGGACCGTCATGACGGGGGAGCCGGAGGAGGGCTGAATTCTGCAGCTTGTGCTTTTGATAGAATGAGGGAGTGGAGGGTGATTTGGGGAGTGAGAAAGGGAGGGAGTGCATGACATTCTTAGTGCATCTGGGCAAAATGAGCAGTGAGCATGTAGAACAGAAAGAGGAAGGAGATCATTGAAAGAGAGCACAGGAAAGGACAACAGAAATTATTTTTGTAGTAAAATGGGAAGGAAAGGAAAGGGAAGCAAGTAAGAGGCAGAGGAAAATGAAGAGAGAGCAAACCAGGAATGTAGTCTTGGCTTGCTGCGAAGTGTTAGAAAGGATGGAGGGAGGAATGGAAGGAAGGTGAATGAGATTAAACAACGGAGAACGAGAAACCAAACCATAACGGCAAGAGTGACGACCGACTGTGGAAAAGAAGAAGCAAATCTAGGAAGAGAGACATCAATTAATCATATCCTGGACCTGCAAATGCAAGAATCGCTCATTGACGTCCCCAGAAGGGGGCCCAGAAGTGTGTGAATGTGGGAGAATCAGGTGGTGTGGTGGGACAGCTAAGATCCCTTCTGGATGAGTGGCACGCTCACACACAAACACGAGCTCCCTCACGGAGGATCCAATACAGCTGAGAGATCCAAGCGCTTCTGAGAATATGAAGGTGAGTGCCCTCCAGCTAGCTCAGGCAGAGACATAACAAAACTGGGTACATTGAACGCAGTGCATTTTGGGCTTGCAGTGTTCAGCATACTGAAACACTCCATGGTTTGTATAAAATTATATGTGATCTTGTATTGAAAGTAAAGGGAGACTCTTGGGAATTAGGTTAGCCCATTTTTTAAAATCCAAATTACATTATGACACTGTTGTATGGGCATATTTCCTTTAAAAGGATAGTTCACCCACAATAATTTACTCGTTTCAAACTGGTATGACTTTATTTGTTTGGCAGAACACAAAAGAAGATATCTTGAAGAATGTTTCATGTGTTTTTGTCCATGCAGTGAAAGTTAATGGGGTCCAAAACAACATTGGATCCCACTTTTATACAATGGACTTGCATCGTATTAAAAAAACTACTTAACAGTATGTTCCACAGACAAAATAAAATCATAACGGGTTGGAAGCACATGAGGGTGAGTAAATGATGGCAGAATTTAAATTTCTGCATTAACTACTCCTTTAAGGGGTCATTAAAAGGTGTGTTTTTACAGTGAGAAGAATCTGGCTATTTTTGAACAGCTAACAGTCTGTGGGATGTGGTTTTCCAGAGGGAGCATCGGGAGGTCATATGACAGACACTGCTTTCCAAATGGATAAATGTAACATGCACTGTTAATAGCTCGCTTTGATAATTAGCATAGATTCAGTGTCTGCCAATACCATAAAAACAGCTTGTTAGAGAGGCATTGATAAAACAAGCAGTATTTCACATACTGGCCTTTAAAGGGATATGCTTTATTTCTTCTGTGGAACATAAAATAATATATATTTCATATAACAAATATAATATATTTTTGTTTTCCATACAATGTAAGTCAGTGGAGTCCGGTGTTGTTTTAGACTCCACTGACTTACATTGAAAGTGATTTACATTTTCGGGTGAGCTATGCCTTTAATGCGTCTTTCAGCTGTGGTTTGGTGGTTTCTTTAGATTCTTGTAGCACCATCATAAACTGTATCATAACATAATTTGCGTTGAAGGAAATTTCTTGGGATAGTCATGAGCCAAGATGTCTCTAGTCTGAGAAAGTCGGAGGAATAAATCACCACCAGCAGAAGACCACTTCAATGCAGTGCTATTTTTACTTCAAGATGTGAAGCATGATGGACCAACACCCAGGATTTTGGTCGATAAATGCAAGTTAACTTCTGTATGCTATTAAATCTTGATTAGAAGGGCGTTCTGAGTTAAAATACAGCCTGCAGACTTTTAAAAAAGACATGAGCTTTTAAAAGTAATCTTTTTCTTATGAGAGGCCTTCACAGAGCTTTGATTTTTTTTCCCCGTGCAGCCTGTCGGAGCCCCTCCCTGGTCCGTTTCATCGCTGAGGCTGTTAGTACTGACAGTTGTATCTATTGATGTGTTCTAGCTGGAGGTGTTCTGATTACCCAGCTAACTGCCAGCTTCACTTAATCCTCTGGAGATTCCTGAAGGCAAAGCCATAGAACAACATCATTGAGGCTAATCCAGTGCCTGTCTGACTGATGTAGTGTGGACTTTGCACATGCACAACGGCATCAGGGAGCTCGATGGTTACTGTGGTGCAGAACAGAAACAAGTTTTCAGGCCCAAGCCAAAAGAGATAAGAGGAAAAAAATCTGAGGACCTCTGGTGTGTGCAACACAAACGGTGTGTGCCGTCAGCCCGAACCATGTCTCGGCTCTCTTTCTGTTTGCTTCTACTGGGGTTGGGGGTTGCCTGGATACAATCCGTTTGCAGATTTAAAAAAAATTTTGTTTGACTAAGAGATTATTTATTTCAGCCTCTCCCCGTCTTTTCCAGCCAAGAGAAGATAATCCATACTGGCCCGTCTTAGACTATTGTTCTTAGAAGTTGGAATAAAATCACAACCATTATAGATTTTTTTGAAAGGTTAAACATTTTCTTTCTGTAACTACCTGTAATTCAAATCATTTTATCACAGCTATTTCCACTTCATTAGTCCAAAAAAAAATAAAAAATTGGTCAGAATTTTTGTCAGAAAAATGAATTGATGTTGTAAGTGTTGATGAATTTGTTGTAAATGCATGGAGATTAGCTGAATCATATTGTATAAAATGTTAGGTCAAAATGTTCAAATGAAATTAAACCATATCAAGCAAATAATAATGGTAAGAATCATATGACAATAGAGCAGTGAATGCAGACCACAAGGCCAAAAGATTTTTGGACTGCGACCACCAGGCTTTGTGCATTAATCTGGTTGTAAACGGAGGCTTAGCCATTGGCGCTATGGGATGTGGTACTTAGGATAGCCAGTTACATTTATTTTAAAATCTGACCTCTTACATGGTGGACACTGATTTAATAGAAACAATTTAAAGGATAACGTGTGTGTGTGTGTGTGTGTTTGTATTATGTACATAGATATAATATGTACAGTATGTGGCTTGAATAATTGTTTAAATAATGTTTAAGTAATAATATTATTAGAATTAGTAATTATTTAAAGGGGTTCTATTATGCTTTTTCACTTTTTCAACTTTAGTTAGTCTGTAATGTTGCTGTTTGAGCATAAAAAAGATCTGCGAAGTTACAAAGCTCAAAGTCCAATTCAAAAGGAGATATTTTATTTAACAGAAATCACTTTTCAAAAACTACAACGAACGACTCATTTGGACTACAACGCATATTTTCCGGGATTTGTGATTTGATTTTGATGCAATATTTACACTGAAGCATGCAGGCAGCTATGGTAAGGGTCATGACATTTCCCGACCAGGTGCCGAGTGCTGCCAATCACAACAGACACTGGCCCAGCTAACCAATCACAGCACATTTCGTATTTCAGAAGGTGGGCCTTTATTTGATACAGGAACTATTCGAACCGTTCATGCCAGACTGATGAGAGGGGTGTTGTAATAATGTAAAATATGTGAAAGATAATGTGTTTTTCGAGCAACCTAGTATGAGAGCCTGTTCTAGTACACCCCCAAAACAAAATCAAGACTTTGTAAAAGAGCATAATCGGACCCTTTAAAAAAAACACACATGAATAAAGGTGTATCTGTTTAATAGACCTGAGCTAACATTTATTAACTACTATTAAAATACTGTAACAAATGCATTGCTCATTGTTACTTAATGTTAGTTATGCATTAAATAATGTCAGCTAAAGGGACCTTATTTTATAGTGTTACCCATATATTTTCTAATAATGAAATTTTATTTAATTATATTTTAATTATCATTATATTTAGTTAGATTTAATCCATATATATATATTATGAATTATATACATAAATATGACATTATTGTTACCAATATATTTTTAATATTTAAGTTAGATTTAGTTAGATTTTAATTATAATTATATTTAATCCATATTTAGTTATATGTAATCTATATAATATTTATAATATCATTAATCATATTTAATCTAATCATTCATATATATATATATATATATATATATATATATATATATAAATAATCAAAATGAGAAATTATATGTCATAATATAATTTCACGATCTTAGGCCTATATCCTGTAGATTCTATTCAGGAATGTTTTGTTATGCAGTCTACATGCTTGTTTAGAAGTATGACCTCCTTAAAGGTAAGTGAGTAATTAGGTTATCTTTGATTATTAGCTAAAGCATTGATATTTTGTAACTGAATACAGGGATGGACAACATTTGTGCAGGAGATTCGCTGCTCATACTGACTTGATCTCACAGGTGTCCTGACTCTTTAAAACCATATGACCGCCCTTTGCCATGTTCTACTGCCACTGTACTGCCACCTAGACCTTTCCATCCACATGATTAATGACCTCGTCAGTCTAATGGGAGTCAGACCAGAGTTTAGTTTCACATTTCCTTTCTCTTTTCCCTTTCATTCTTTCTCTTTCTCCTGTTCTGTATTCAGATGGATCCTGTTCAGAAGGCAGTGATCAACCACACCTTTGGAGTCCCACTGGTGAAGACCAAACGGCCAATCATTTCCTGTAATGTGTGCCAGATCCGATTCAACTCTGAGGTAAGGTATCTGATATTGGACTGTTTGACTTCATGCATGTTTGGTGTCTTGCTCAAATGGCTTGTTTTATTGAAGACATGAAATCATATATAGTGTTCTTCAAGTGAGTTTATATGTAATATGAGAGTTATGTTTATACTGCTGAGATATTTTGCACACTCTGCTTTCTAGCCCAGAAATAGCCAATGGCAAATCCTCTTTCAAGTACTGTGTCTGCAAAGCTTACAGCATGAAGTGTTTTTTTCCCTTTCTTTCGACATTTAAAATGAGTTTTAAGAAAATCTCTCTCAACATAGTCTTAATTAAGATGTTTCCACAAGCAAGAACTTCCTACGAAAACAAAGTTCAACTTTTCCATTTCAGACTTGCCACAGTCATTTATTGCAAGATCCGTATCGTGCATTTTGACGTTCCAATATTCCTCGCGCATCAATGAAAGCAATTATGTTAGTTGTTTATGCACCAAATTGCTGCTACGCTTGTTGGGGGAGAAGCTTTAGCCTGAAATATTCTGGGCTGAATTCGGTTGCAGCTGTGGAAGACATTGTGACATGTGTGAGATTAGTAACAGAGCAGGACCTGGGAGTGCCCCACTAGCCTGCTCTATTTTTACGGATGAGAACTATAATCATGGGCAGAAAGTGGCTTTCTTGGTGTGAGCCTGTAATCTCAGACCTCCAGTCGAGCAGATGTATGGCCTTCTTCAAACCACAGCCACAAACAATGAACCTGGAGAGGCCAAGCCTGCCTGTGGAGACCTTAGCTGTTAGCCCAGCTCGCTTTTAATGATTTACGGGGAGAGAATTTGAGACAACTCAGCAATTCTGTGAAACAATTGGACTTAAGAGTTGTAGTTAGTTCAAGGGAGGTGATATTTCATGGAGGAGAAGATTAGATTGAAGTTTTGTACTATCAGCTATAAATTCCACATCCCAAAGTACCATCCAAACATGTCTTTAGTTTACAACCCAGTTCATGACCCTCAAGTCAGACGAGCTTGACACATACACAAGCATGCTTGTAAATAATAATGCATGTTGTTCAATAAACCTTAAGTGCTTGACTGCTGATTGGACATCTCTGACACCTTCAGCTGTCCTGGTTTGTAAAAGATATTCATATACTTTCAACACCCCTGTTTTTACAATGTCTCTGCTTGCCATCATTGCATTTAACTATACACAAATTTAAGCACGCACCTCTTTCCATGAAAAGGGTAGGATATGGGGGCTGCTTTTTCTTTCTCTTTGTTTGTTTGTTTAATTGAACATTTTGTCATCATTTACTCATTAGAATCTCATGTCGCTTCAAACCTGTATTACTTTCGTTCTTTTGAGGAAAATACAAGAAGATGTTTTGAAGAATGTTGGTAACCCAACTGTTTTGGTTACCATTGACTTGTATTGTATGAACAAAAAAACAAAACAAAGACATTTCTCAAATTATCTTCCGTTATGTTCCACAGAAGAAAGTAAGTCATGCAGATTTAAAACAACTTGAGGGTGGGTAAATGATGACAGAATTTACATTTTGGGTGAACTATTCCTTTAATATTTATTTAAAACCCATTATTCTCATGGCATTATTTATGCAAGTGTAACTGCATTCACGCCACTTCTGAGCTGCAATAAACAGTCTATAAATATATCTAAATACCAATTCATCATGGCTGATGTTGTTCCATGTAATAAATTCTGTTGAACAAAATATTTCTTTCTAAATTTACTTTTTGTAATGTGCAGTATGTTTGTTTGTTTATTTATTTATTTAACACAATAATGGCTTTAAATAATCTTTTGGGGGTAATTCTGAGGTTAAGATTTGATGTGAAATTTCATTTAATTCGATTAATGAATTGCCACATTGTGTATTAGATTTAAAATTTTAATTGCTATCATATATATATATATATACACACACACACACACACACACACATACATATATATATATATATATGTCTATTGTATCTGTGAAAAGTGGCACATACACACAATCATCATCCCACATACAAACTCACACATTCATTGTCCTAACAATTTAATGTCTTGTTTATTTTTAAAGTTGTCAGGCATCAAATGTTCACGTCATCAAATCAGCAGCGTGAGAAAGACAGAGAGATCAAAAAAAAATTACTGCGAGTTCTGATGTACTAGAAATTGTGCTGCTTCTTTCATGCATTGTTGCACTGGAAGTGATTCAGCTACGTTAAGAGATTAAATTATACAATGCCATATTTCATTAAATGGTTACACAGAGCAATGGGTCAACATTTTCTTCCTATACTATATGCTAAATAAAGCAATGCTTTTGTTCCTTGAAAATATCTATTCCCTCGCCTCCTTCCCATCATCATTTCACGCTCCATTATGGATTCATAGATTCCTAACCCCCAGTGCCGATATCTGAGGACATTTGTGGTGGAAAAAGCAGACTATTGGCTGACAGCGAGTGTTATCTGATGCATTCATGAAATTAGGGGCTCAGCGTTGCATGCTGTGCTGCCAGTGTCCCTCTGTCCCTTTCACTCTAGCGCAAGATGGAGGTATAACCTTGCCACGCTGCAGAAGTGATGTCACCATATTCTGTCACTGTTGCTGCAGGACAGGGTTGACTCCACGTACCTCCCCCTGCCAGAGCTGCAGTAGCCCACCGCTGTCGTACAATTTCTGTCATTCACTGACTGGTTTTCCATCACTAGGGCAAATTAACCTTCCATGTGCGTGTTGAGCTTTGGGAATAGCCACAGCTGTCAACCCTCATAATGCAGCCCTTTCCTATTTTGTTGTTGTAATTGTATTTTTTTGGCGTATTTGATGTTACTTACCGTTCACATGTGGTTTGATGAGACCTGGATAATCTGCGTCCTAATTTGTCCTTGGAAAAGTTCTTTCTGTTCTCCCTGTTTTCCATCGTTGTGCTTAAAGTATTTTTTTTGTGCTCTCAAAACCAACTCATCTGTCTTATGTAAAACCCTGTGCCTTCTGGACGAGAACTTTCCTCATTTCCTTATTTTATAGATAGCGCTGCTTTTCATAAGAGCACAACATTCTCATTGGCACATCATTGATTTGGCTTGGTACTTGATTTGTATTCATATCTAATGGCTGAGGTATTCTTTACACATAATGTATCCCCTCTCTTGTAAGTCACTTCATTAAGAAAGCATTCACTGAGAATATCAATGAATTCTGTATGTGGGTTCAAAGAGTTCAAATGTGAAAATTGGGTTTGGATTGCTAAAAGTGGTCTACTTATCTAATTGAATTAGAGTTAAGAACTGGCTAAAACATCTTAGCTGCAAACTGGTTGTTAAAAACAAGTATGTATGGATGATAGTGTAATTTTTAGTGTAATTTAGGCTATCACAAACTTTTTAAAATATTGGAACTGAATAACGCTCAGTTCAATGAACTGTTCATGCACATGAATTCTTCCGCCACTGTGAAGGATCACTGTATTAAAATACTCTGGCAGAGAACTGTACTACTATTCAGTGGTGACGCAATGACACTACTGAATATACTATAATAGCATGAGTGTAGTCTGATTGCTGAATGAAAGACTCCTACGAACTTTTGCTTTGTAGTGAATTAAAAATATGCAGTGCAACCAGTGTTGTCCGACCCGTGAAATAACTTTTTTGAGCCCATTCTTTTTAGCGAATCAAAAACAGGAAACACAACCAATATAGTCTTGACTCCCGAACAAACAACTATTATGAGCATGCTCTTTTTAGCAAATCAGAAACTTGCAAACTTGCAGAATCAAAAAAATGCAGCTCACAACTAACTGTGAGAAATTAGTATAATTTCTATTTGGTGTATAAAGATGCAGATAATGAGTTTTTGTTTAGTATTTTTGTTTAATATACATTTAAAGCTAATTATTTGATTGCATTTATAACAACTGTATAAATGCATTTTTCAATATATACAGTGGTGATATTTTTATTACTTTTTAAAATTAATTTAGCTCTTATTATCATTAACAAATATTTAGTCCTTACAAGTATTTACAATCATTAGTGGAACCGAAATTATTCAAAGGAATTAGAACCAGAACCGAAAGAGTTAAATTCTTTATGATTCTCATTCCTAGTCACAGACTGTTAAAAAAATATTTGGAATCTCCAGTATTGACATCTCTGTAACTCATGGTTGTGATTACCACCCTAGACTGTTTGAGTCTGTTGCTTGCACATGGCAGTGGCATGAACTGTGTTTCTCATTTGTTCTTGGATGTTGATGTGCATTTTTCTTCACTCTTCTGCAAGTCTGATCAGTTTAACATTCCTAAACTCATATATGTTGTTTTACATTCATTTTTGTCTGTGTGATCTCTGTCTGCACCTGTGCTTTAGCCCCATATCCACTGAGGTTGCTGTTGGTTTCTGACAGAGCCACATCGCTATCTTCTCCTCTTTCCTCCTTAATCCCAGGGATCTGTGTTCTTTTAGTGCTTCCTTCCCACATCTTCCTCAGTTTCCTGTGTGCTTTAGACAGGCAGCTCCTTCAAACCCCTGAAGGCTTCGATTACAGACCACCAGCTATATAAGGCTCTGTCATCACCAATTACAGCCCACAACTTGCCACAACAGACAGGAAGGGCCAACCTAATGCCATTCCCTCGCTGCAAGTGTACCCTAACTGTCTCTGAGGGCCTGTCCTAGCTGTCTTAATATCTTTTCTGTTCCCATGAGTCTCTGCAGGGGTTCCATGCCTCTTCTAATGTTGTGAGTGTCTGAGCCTTGGATGACACTCTGGTATGAGTCTCTTGGTCCTGCTCCCAGTGTCTGCAGCACCTGTTGTCAACTCATTCTCGGTTTCACACAACAGATAATCCAGCCACTTAATAATCATCATCGTTTGTCTTGATGGGATGCATTCTGAAGCCTGTTTGAAGCGTGCTGCTGGGAGGCACGTCAGATACGTGTTGTCCTGTAACAAGGATGCAGACTACAGGCGACAGCTCCTGTGTGAATGTGTCTGGAAATATCTCTTTGTGTGTTCCTGCTAGAGGTCAAGTCAGCATGATCGATGAGTGGACTAGATTGTGCCACATCAGAGAAGTGGGATTGTTTGTGCAGATTAGAGCTGTTTCCATTGGTTTTGTGCTGTTTATGCACTGACCACTGAAATGGCTAAATATATCCTTTCACTTAACAATGGACACATTTTCAGATGTGTCTCTTCTTCTTGACAGTGTTGAATGAATGATGAATGAATGAATGATGCATTTATATAGCGCTTTATTGTGTATTGTTGTACACCCAAAGCGCTTAACAATCATG